AGAACGTCAATTTGATTTTAATTTATTCATTTAAGACTACTGTTGGAAGAGCTTTGGATCCTTTGCCGAGTGATATAGGAGGAGATAAACGGCAAAGAGGGATTTATTATCTCCGTATATTCAAATACCAATACCAATCCTTCTAATTTAATTATAAAATTATATTATTATAAAAGAGTTTTTAATTTTTATTTATTTGGATAATTAGTGTTCACTAACACATATATAATAGTGCTGATGTGAAAAAAATTCAAAATATTTTACTAAGTAAAGACGAAAAAAAAAAACTTTATATCGATAACCTCAAAATAAGAACACAAAGTACCTACACCAACTATACTACGTTTGTTTACTTAACGTATACTGCAGTTGAGTTACCATGAAATGTACATATTGTACATAGGTAATAGTTATACAACGAAACATGCTGAATAAAATGTGCACTGTGGGAAAAATGATGACTGGCTCATTCGCTGTATCGTCATATTACGAACATCATTGTCTTATATGCACAGACCCTAAAAATGATTTCTTACTGTTTCTTTTTTTTCTTAGATCATTTCGCAGAACAACCATTTAGACCGTCAGGTTATGTTTAACATTATTTTTATACTTACCCAACATTTTATCTTATCTCTTGTGCACTTAATGCTTAACCAAAGCGAATCGCTCAAACGTATTTATAACTAACTACCTACCACTACTACCCAAATACACATACACGTGTATATATATATATATATATATATATACGTATACATTATAAATAAGAAACACACATTGTTAAAAACGCACAAAATTAAACTCGTTATTATATTTATTTATATTTAGTATATTTTATAAGTAACACATTATCATATTCGTTTCATATGTATTTATTGTGAACACTTAAATAAAGTAACGGACGATAACGAACATTATAATCTCTATTAGAAATATTCGGCTTATTACTTAAAAAGATATAATATCATAATCCTTCTTAATCGTAATAATAAAGAAGGAAGAGATTAAATCCTTCAACATTTCATAATTAAAGCCGGTGTTATAGTATGTACGAGTATGCCGCTGTGCTCGAAAGATGATAGGTATCGGTATAGTGTAATATAATTTATAAAATATTTATACAATATTATCATTTCTGGATTTGCGTTTTATAATATTAAATGTAATATTATATTTTCCGTCTGTTCACTGTTGTAATAAGTACACGTATATAAAATAAACCGTAAAATCTTGCAAAACACTATTCGGTTAGGTTTAAAAAAAACATAGAATTTATTATTTTACGACCTACCTGTTGTTTTGCTGATAAAATGATAATACTGAAAGTATAATATTGATAATAATATTATATTAACATATTAATGTGCAGTTAAAATATCATAATCGGTGTAATCATTATTGTATTTATTTCCAAAATGTGTGCCACTCACTTTTCACGATTTGCATTATTAATAAAACAAGATTGAAAAGAGACGCAGTGATCAACTTTTTGCGATGATACATTATATTTCATAAATGATTTATATCACATAACGCGGTTGAATGACGTACAAAGCATTAATACTTTATTTTTCGTTCTTTCAAGTATTTTCATTCATCAAATGCTGTACTTTACAGCAATTGTTTTGGCGTTCACGCGTATATTTCTATTATAATTTGATTTTAATACAAAGTTCTTTGGATAAAGTTATTATATACGTATTATGTAGTACTATAGATGCTTAAAATTCATCTCTATACACTTTATTGATCGTTCGAAATTTATGTAACTGATAACTATATGACTTAGGCTATGCATTTAATCGATCCGATTTCTAAAATGTTTGTAAACAACTCATTTAATACACAAATTCAGCAAAGTTAGTTGTTTAATGTTCAATAGTGGTGTTTGTCAACGGTCAGCATTCATTCTCACTGAAACCTCACTATGGGTAAGGAAGCTATAAATGCCAAGGGTAAATTCGAAATAATATCATTCGCAATCAAGTGTTAGTGATGGTTGTGTTGAAATATAAATTGCTTGAATATGTTCAAATTCTATTATGTATTGTAGGAAGTTGCTTTATTATAAAAACGATTTTAAAATTAAAATTTGGTGCAATAATAATGGATTAGGATAATATTCTACTATAATAAAGCAACTTATTTTATGACCAAGCAATTAATTTAAATATTTTACATATAATGATAATTTTTTTTTTATTATTATTAATATTAAAAAAAAAAAAAAAAAAAAAAAAAAAAAAGTAATAAAAAATAAATAAATAAATAAATAAATAAAAAATAATAATTGCAATAATATTTACAGTTATTTTTTCAAGGAAATAGCCTCTTTCTAGATATAGTACCTAGCTAAATTATTTAATTAGGGTTTTTGTAAAATTGTATAAATTTAATAAAAATACAGTTATTAAAAACATGTAAAAGTATAAACATGAAAACATTAAAATTATTACGTTTGTTACTATGATGAGATACGCAGTGAATGTTCTGTTCTCAATGGTGGTATACGTTATTACAAAAAAATTACAATTCCTGTTGAAAACGCTTAGTAGCTAGCTGATCATCCGAGTAGGTACATAATACTTTATAGTAATGGAAAAATAATAGCTTTGTATTATGTAATAAATATTAAATACTCTTGTGTATTTTTATACTAAAATACACAATACTAAATTACTCGATAGATATTAATTTTGTGTTAAATTTATTTATTAAGTTTAATTGGTTGGATCGCCGTGTAAACTTGTAAACTATTTGGTTTACCTGATATATCTTATCTATACAAAATTATATGTCTTATTGGCTTATATCCAACCGCCTTAATGAGTAAATATCTTTTAAGTTTATTCTTATTCACCATTAAATCCTTTACTAATCGATTTTATGTCTACGATATTACTGTTATAATATAAATATATGAACGTTAAAAGTATTCAATTCGTACTAATCTTAAAATCATTAACGTTAAAATATAGTCGTATTTCTGTAGTATACAATTTTCCAGAATATATTAGTATAACTAGTTCTAAGATGAGCTGAGAAAAATATTAGATTTACAAAGATGTGTTTTTTCTTTTTTTCTTTACTGGTTTCCTTCTGAAAACACTTTTGGGGGTAGTAAAAAACTCAAAAAGTTCCATACAGCACTTTTCTAGATTGGAAACGAAACACAAATATTGCATCTACCTTAAAAGTATTATTTTATTTTATTTTTTTAAATTTCCTCTTAGTGGTTTTCTATAAAATAGAGAATAACTGGGAAAAACGATAAATAAGTAAATATATATATAAGTATACAAGTTTAATATGATAACTTGTTTTTAAACAAAATTTTGACCGTTTTTTGGCGTACGGAGTTCTACACCGAATTGTTTTTCGAATAATTTATCATTGCTTTCAAATATGAACACGTCATATATACGTCATCTACCCTTTTACCCATTTAGACCAAGCTAACTGCAGTACAGTTATTTTTTTATAATACATTATTGTAGCCTATTATAGATACTTATCTAATATTATTAGATATTATTTTTTATTCAAAAACATGCATTTTTTATTTTTTTTTGTTAAATTACATATAACTTAATGATTTTAGATTTTGAGCAGCGTGAATAATGTATTAACTGTACAATGTTTTTTTCTACCTATTAACACCCTTTTAACTTATAAAAATGCTTTAATTTCATCTATAGGAATGGTTCTAGTAGAAAATTGAATTTTATTGGTAATTTTAAAGATTAAAAGTAAAAATCCAAGTATTTTTTTTTTTTTTTAATAATCAAGAGTAACAAAAAAACAAATTAAGGAAAAATGAGAATTTTTATGAAATTTTAAGTTAATACTCTGAAGAAACGACATGTTTTAACGATTCATTTTACTATAATTTGAAAACATTAAACATGCGAGTTTATAATTTTTATATATAATATAATGTATTTTACTATATCCAATTTAGATTAAATAGGCTAGGTATTTATATTGGTTAATTTTTATTTATTACCTATTTATACCATGGATCTATCTACACTGTTTCATGTAAAGTGATATTGACTCAAAAGATAATTACAATTATTTCATATAGTAAAAATATATTTAGACATAAATATATAATAAAAAATTTAAATAAATCCATTTTTTTCGGAACAATTAAATCAACACTTCGTAATGATAATAATACAATACTACTTCAATATCAAAATCACATCATTGAGTATACTTAGTGGTATACTGGTATAGGCAAACCGTCACCTCTGCCCAAAATCTTATTTCGTATACAATGCTGTATCATTGAATTGGAATTCAACTCATCCATTATAAAGACCAATCTAACACCTACTGTAGGTACAACACAGTGATATTTACTTTACCACATTTTGATTTTTCAATACTTAAAAAAAAACTATAAATTATAAAATTTATTTTTCTTCATATAATATATTTTATTATATTAAATATCAAAAAAATGTTTTGAATTTTATTGTACTAAAAAGTTTATATTTTCCAAATTATTAATTGATTTTTTTATATTTTTTTTTTTTATAACAAAGTGCGTATTACGCATTTTCATTAATAAAATTAAATTTATTTTGACAATAGAAAGTATATTAAACTTCTGAAATATATTAGTTTGTATTCAGTATAAATTATTTCTTTTGGTTACTACATTGCTAAAGAAAATTTAATGTATAAACATTCAAAATATAAGTAAACTACAATTAAACACAAATACCAATAGAATGGAGTAAATATCGATTGTCAATTTACACAGTATTAAATATGTTAATAATTTAATAAATTGAAAATGCGCATTTAGTATGAATACCTATATGTATATTATAATGCAAAGAGATTATTTGAACGGTGAAAATTTAATATATTGTATCTCAAAATCCATTAATTTTTTTTGAACATTTTTTTCTGTAAAATTTTTTATAATTAAGTCATATTATTCATTGTTTATTTATTTATTTATTTTTTTTTTTTATTTATAGGATGGAGTGATTGGAGTGATTGGTCGGCATGTAACGTATCATGTGACACTGGCTTGCAGTATCGGTTTCGACGTTGTCTGAAGTGCGGGCAAGGGCATAACAAAGAAATGCGAAAGTGCAACGACTTTTCATGTGACGGTAAATATTATTGCTATAATTTCAAATTAGTTTGAAAATCACTTCAAAAATTATAATTTTATTGCCATACTTAAATCTTTTAATTATTTTCGTACATTTAACGTTCATACAGGGGTTACGGAACTAGTTGCGCCGGGTGACCACGTTCGTACCATCGGTGGTAAGCTAAACGGTAGCGAAAATGGGTTTAGTCTTCTTAACACAGTCGGCTTCTCGAACTCGTTTTCACTGCTGATCACGCTGAGAGTACAACCAAAAGTAAGTGATAATATTTATCATATTTAATTACTAACATGTATAATAACGTACTAATATCCAATACGTTCACTCCTCCTACTCTCCTGAAAAAACCTCTCATACAGACTCAGACATAAATGGTGTAGAGATATATTAAATTTAATTAAGCATAAGAAGTACTACCAACAGGTTTCTTTCTCAACACGCTGTTCACATAATTTTTTTTTCAATATTTTAAAGTTTAGATAGGTACTTTATTTGCTTATTGAAATAGTTGTGTACAGATAGTAAATTTTCTTCTTATAAAAAAAATAAATGGAATATTATATTAAATAGGTATATACTATATCATAAAACATATATTCAAAACATATTTTATGTATTTAGGATATCCTAAGTATGGCTATTAGTTTTATATACTTGCCTATGGATAATATTTTAACACAATATTATTGGACATTGGTACAAATTTCAATGTAAAAAAAAATATTTCATATAATAACGAGAGAGATTGATCTCATAGTACCTATACGGCTATACCTTTTTTATAAACGTGATTAAACATATTAAATTGAACAATTGACAATCGTTTTATCATACTTACACATATGTTAATTCAATTTAATTACGTGAACACTAAAACTTCAAAATATCGACTTCAAATTATGTACTATTTTATCAAATATCTAGAAAAATTGTGTTTCTATGAAAAAATGTATTTTTATTTTTAGCCCAAGACTTAACAATTTAGTTATTTATTCTCTGAATACTGAAGTAACGTCACACTACACCCTCAAGTACCCACAAAGTAAATACTTGTATTATATGTATATGTATATGAATACTAAAATTGTCATAATATACACTAATCGTAATTAATAATGTAAACTACAATCTTATGTTGACAGTAAAGTAGATGTATAATCTGAATTTTATTGTTAATGTTAATTAATATTAAAAGACATTTTTAATATGTTAATTCTATGTAAGGATTTTTAGGTAAATTACTAATAGTTTTTTAAGTCAAAAGTAACAGAATCGTGTATGATTGATTGGCTTAAAGAGATATAGAAATTAAGTACCTGTGTAGTTCAACAACTTTTACTTTAAAATACTATAAATATTTCTGTGACCGTTGAAATGGTTATTTCTCAGAGCTGAGAATATTTTATTTGATGACTAAAAATCCCTTAGCTGATATATCCGTATGGAATATTCAGTGAATAAATCATACACTATTTTAAACCAATATATGTATGTAATACATATTAAATGGTTTTAGTAGATATTAATATATAGTAGATATAAATATTAAAAATAATGTATACATTAAAATATCTACTGAATAATTGGAATAAAGCAATTACAATTTCTTAATACTAAAATAATTTAATAAGTTAGTAGTCTGCAAGTCGATTTCAAAGCACTTTTACAATAATTAAATAATCGATTCAGAATACTTTGTAATATAGCAGGCTAAGCAGAAATGAAGTAAAATCGTCAATTTACAGAAGTGAGAAATTTCAAATCATATTATATTTTCGATATATAAAAATCTTGAACTTTTCGGAAAGCATTATAATATAAATAAATTATTATTTTGATACGCCATCTTGTATTTTAAACACGAATACGTGTATACAAGACTGCAGTTTGTCGTATACACACTGATGTTGACATCAATTATACTGTTCATCAAATTAAGTTTATTTAAAATGTTCGAAGTTGAATAACTGTCACATAAAATATTACCGTATTATTATAATCCTTTTTGCAGTGTACTCATCTTACCGTTATACTTAAATAAAATATGGTTAACGTGTGCTGTGTGCATCATGGATTCGTGACCAATGATATATTACAAAAATAATAATATATCAATCCTCTATTTATGTCGTATTTGGAGAAATTGAAAATTTTACACTTCAATATATCTTTCAGACATTCACTGTGTGTCTGTGTATCGACATTCGACAGTCTTTAAATATTAATTACAATATAATTTTATAATTTTATAAAACCGTCAAAATGTTCAATCACTTATTTAATAATGCATAAAAAAAAAAAATTATATTTCATCAGAAAAATGTAGTTTGTCAAGGATTCTCCTTAAATTGTGTGAAATATCTAAATATTTGAAAACATGACCCTTATAGATACATTTAAACATTTTAAAAATCATAATTTAATTAAATTCATTATTAAAAGAAAACATTGTTGAATCATTAATCCCCCTGTGTATAACCTAAATGGCTAAACGTTTTATTTCCAATTCTTGAGTTAAAACTATAAGTTAAATGAAAATAATAATTATCAGTTCAAAAGTGTAAAGTCGAAATCAACTTAAATATAATCATTTTATTCTCTAACGCTTTGTTACAACACGTTTAATTGGCACATATAGGTACAGTTCAAATTAATCTAATTTTAAATTGGATGAGATAAGTTCTGCCATCTGCTAGATGATTCAGTATGATATATAAATGTATTTTTTCATTTTGAATAGCTTTTTTATACTTACATGTTTTTAATATGTGTACCACAGTAAACAAAATAATTATAAATGTCTAAATTATATTTGATTTTCAAATATCACTGAAAATTCGTCCGTTGGAAATATAAATAAACATTAAATATATAACATATATATTATAAAACCTTAAATTATTGATAGGATAATATCTTAAAATTAATGAAATTAATATTAATGTTATAATTCGCTCATACAACCAAAAGGTTGCTATTCAAACAATATTGCTCCACAGATATTGTTCCTTCTCGCTGATAAAAATTAAAGCAAAAGAAAATAGTTAGGTACATAATCAAAAGTAAAAAAACTTTTCAAAGTTTAAATAAGTAAATAAGTAAATCATTTATGTAGAATAATATAAAAACAGAAATTAAAAATGGTCTTTATTTTCTACCGATAGTTACCAAACGAAAATATAATACCATTAAGATACATAATAAATAAAATATTTTGTTTATTTTTCAAATCTTTATTTAAAATTTTTCAAGACTGTTCTACATAAAATTCAAAAGTTTTATTTAAAAGTAATACAAAATTACAACTTGTGTTACTACATTTATTTTAGTTATTTGTTTTTCGTGTATATTTAAATATTAGTTATAATATTTATATTGTCCAAAATGTCAACAAAATTTCCATTTTAATCAAGAATACGCATTTGTGATGTAAATTTTATTATATATGCGCAAGTTTGACATTTCATTGAGAATATCGATAAAAGAATCCACACTGTACTTAAAAGATAGAGTGTTAAAATAAAAGTGTACACGGGTCTTAGCTATTCTTTAATTATATAATATAACGTTTATAGTCAACGTTTTATATTATACAGAATTTTTTAATTTTTTTTATGTCTTCATCACAAAACAATGATGTATGTATTACAAAAAGGTAATGTAATAATAAGAATTTAGATAGTTTAAAAATATATAATATATTTTGTTATTTTTCGATAATTGTACAATCTAGTAAGAAAAATGTTCTACTAAACTCTAATAAATATCAAGGAGACAGCGTTCCTACAGAGTATTCATGCGGTTATAAAAAATAAAATTCAGGCTACCTATATTGATTTTAAAACAATCAATAAAATAATGATCGGCAGACACCTTTATATAAATTTGCAATTATCACTTAAATTTATTAAGCGCTTCAAATATTCTCTAATCACATAGGTTGATGTAGGACGATTGTATACCCGTTCTAAAAATATTTTGAGACCTAATAAGTGACATTTAACATTCAATAATTTAAAATGAATTGTAATTATTCAATGCAACACATCATTTTGATATTTTTATAATTATATTGAATATATTTTTTTCATAAATTCATTGTACTTATACAGAAATAATTTTTTTTATCCCACATATTTTGTAAATTTTAATTCCATATTTATGTACTTATCTACATATATATCTATATTTTATTTAAAATTATTTTTATTGCATATAAATCCGTTCGCTACTGATAATATATATCCGTTCTATATTATTTATGATTTAAGTATTTTTTTAAGGTATACATAATTAAACATAAATAATGAATTTAACAAAGATTAATTTCAAGTTTCAATAAGTTATAGCGTAGAGAGTGTAAATATTATTTTAAATAAACTGTATTTCATGTAATAAAAATTAATTTCTAATAATAATTAAAAAACACCCGGATCATGATGACAGTTATATAATAATAGTATTTATAAGTTCTTTTCTAAAAATAATTATTAACAAAAATAATATGCTGTCTCCACGCACTAAAACAAATAAAAAATAAATAAGTCTGGTAAACCACTTTTATTTTGCACCCGTTTAAAATAATATAATCGCACAATAATTTCGCGATAACATAATTATTGGTTTTAAAGTTCAATAAAAAAATTTTATGTATAACAAATTTATTTACTTAATCGCCTGTATAAAGCGAGTAAATTAATATTTATACCTACTTTATCATACTTAAATTGAAATAGCAGTTAAATAATTATTAATATTTTTCTTTTAATTTTAAAATTAAGAGAAAAAAAAATTAACTATGTATAAAGCAAATATTTTAAGATACTTAGCAATGCCTTTTAAGAAAATAAATGTAATTTCGTAAAAATAAGCAAAAAAATTATTGGCCCATGGGGGGATCGAACCCACGACCTTCGCGTTATTAGCACGACGCTCTAACCAACTGAGCTAATGGGCCAGATGCTGAGCCTTGTGAATTTATATTATTTAACTATCTTTTGTAATACTTACTAAATATTTTTTTTTTAAACTTTAATTAAAAATATCAGTATAATGTATATACTATACTATTAATTACCAGAAACCTAATACTTAGCTATAATAAAGTAGAAGATAGGTTAGATACACGATACACGGTACCTACACACTCTTTATTATATTATTTATAATAATATGCAGAGAGTATTATGTATCTTCACTTGTAAACTACCTATACATAGGTACCTACTAACTACAGTCTACATTAGGTATTGCAA